TCACATTTTTGCTCTATAATTTGGGGTGAGCTTCATGGAAATAATTTCGAATTTTCGAATTTTTCTCGAAGATTTTTCCGAGGAATCAAATTTCCTACTCCATGTATGAGTAGGTCAAAATGCTGAACATGATGTAGCTGTTGAAAGTAAATCGAAAATGAGTGAGACAATCAGCAATAACGATAATAACAATAGTGTGATATTAAAACAGAACAACGAACACATGCAATCATCGGTAGCAGTAGTAGGTAGAAGAGAGCAGATGGACAAAAGACATCATCAAATGCTTAAACAGTGCTCCGTAGACCAACCAATTCCCATCAAGGCCTATCAAATGTTGCTGGATGGGTGCAACAATGAGTTGCAAACATTATCATCGTGATGTTACATTCAAGACCGTCTTTAACACTCGATGCTTTCATACTTGGATCTAGAATCCGAATCCGTTCCAATGATGTACGTACGTTTCAAAGAACTCATCAAAAATACTTGTTTGAAAGATCACCACCAAAACAGATCGGAATACACACATACAAACAAGTAGTATAAACATCAGCATTATCATAATCAAATCAACAAAATAAAAGCGATACACAGTCAAAATAAACGCAAACTCGATGAATGAGTATCATCCACCTGATTTTGATCGGGAACTCAATATCTAACATCTAACGCTAGATCAGTACGTCAACGCAATGATAACACGTATGATAACAACATCAACACTATCAACCGCTGTCATGAGAGATGGATGCAACCAGGCTACTTGGTTCAACACACTCATTATCTACTAACACATTCCGTAAATCGTGGATTATGTAAAGGGATAAGAAATAACTAATCATCTTTAATGACGATAACAACAACAGCAACAAGAACAATAACAACAAACTATCATTCATATACAATGTTAAAATGAGTTTAAGACCAAACAATCAAAGCACAACAAAACGAACACATTTCTAGTAAAACAACGACATAACAACCATACTAACAATAATAACATTAATCGCTACAACGATAATAATAAATAACAACAGTTTCAATAACCCTTCTTCTATCTAAGACATGTATTTTTTAGTTTGATATTATGTGATTTGTTGGGTCATCATTAAAACTCAATAAAGCGAAATATACAAAAAAAAACTGAAATTGGATGAAGCCAAAAATATACAAAGATTTTTCTGCGATCAAAATAATAAGATTTTCGATTCGAACACTGATCAATTAATTAATTCATCAACCTTAAGAAGAGCCTTTCTGCACGATAATAACAACAAGCAATCGGTTCACATCCAACGCTGCACATTTCCCGTAATAAAAAATAAAAAAACAAAACATCAATTCAACAGTTACACAAGAAGTAAGAAGTAAGCCACTTGAAAATCTCAACGATCAGATCATCTCACCAATCAATCACAAATTTATTGAACACGTTCACTCATTCCATATACATCCCACTTCCTATCGATAACTATTAAAAAAAGCTACTATAATGGATAACCAATGAGTTCAAACAACAACAAATAATAATAATAATGAAAAAGTTATTAACTGAAATATAACGAAATATGATAAAAACTGAAGAAAGCAGAACTCTAAAATAAGTTTCGCAACAAAATACACGATAACTGAACGTTGTGCAAAAAAGGAATTAAAACTGAACGATCGATGAAAATGGTGAGCAGAGATAAATGCGAACGATTCGACAAGCACAAATAAATAATTCAACAATGATGGAAACAGATCTGATCCAGAATGAATCCCTACACTCCGCTCTGTTCTTCGCATCATGCACACAATGTAATATTCTCACAGATACGAATACGAATCAACAACACCAAATTGAAATGTTTCCTCAAAAATTCCTCACAATAATTTTACACGAACACGCTTATTGTTGCACTCACTCCAAAAAGCAATTTGACAATGTCGCACGAAAAAATTGGTCATCTATCGTGAATATTCATTTCTATTTCTACACACAAGAAAATCAGTTCATCTTGAAACTCTCACTTTTCTGAATCCTCCTAAAATCTTCTCTTAAAAGACCCAAACTGATCACATAAATGAGCCTGAATTACTGGAATTGAACAACGTGAATCGTAAAAAGAACTGCTATTGAACACCCCAAGTGCATACGGCTAAATCTTCGTCAATCAAGAAATATAATGAATAGATATAATATGTCGATATGTTATCAAAAAGAACAAAGAACACGTCACGTCCTATAGCCTGTCAATGGAGCAATTAGTTGATAGAAACTGAGCAAAAACACTCGACTGAACTCAACATGAAACCGAAGCATCAAAAAAGCATTAATGTCTGATAAAACAGAATCGGATATTAAAAATGAACAGATAATAAAATGACTCACAATCAACAATCACTTAATCAATCATGTAACCGAAATAATCACCTCAACAAATCGTTCCAGTCAATATCAAATCATGGATCAACTCGAGATACTGCGACTAATCCCGATCGACAACACCTGTATCACGAATAGACGACGAATGAACGAACAATGAAAACGGAACAGAGGCACATCAAAATAAATAATAACTTCACCAAAAAATTATCTTCACTGCATACCCAACTCATTACGAATGCTCATTTAATTGTGAAATATCGATGAATCTCAACTCGCCTTCTGTCAGTCACTTCATACCGAANTTTTTAGAGTGCAGTTTGTACTGATTAATGGAATAAATCATAGGTGAACTATCACTTATTCAACTGATTGAGACAGATTAATCTATTTGAAGACTCGTTTCAACTACTGATATTAGACATTTTCATCGAATAAGTTCACTGCAGAAGGCAATTGAGTGCCATAAGATAGAGAAAATATGACACCTTTTGAGATTGAGCAAAACGCTTACTAACTCACATCAGCTGATAGCAGCACATTGCATACTGCTCACAGCAATGACTTATTGCTGGGTGAAGGTTAAGAGCAAAGAATGTGTTTGCTGGATGGATGGATGGATTGAAATGATTAAAACGATAAGTTGAAGAGAACAACAAAATAAAAGACAAATAATAGAATGAACAATGTGAATCAATGACACAATCCAAATTAACAGCGTTTTCTTGTTGTTGTTCAATCGAGTGCCTCCTCTTGCATAGTTGGCTGCTGATTCGGAGTGGTTTTCGATGAAGTTTCGACGGTCTCGTCATCTTTGCTTTCATCATCAGCAGCAGCGGTATCTTTAGCTGTTGTGCTGGCAGCCGTATCATTTGCACTTTCTGCACTCTCCAAATCGGCGAGAGCATTTGCGTTTTTGAGTTGAATGAAAATGATTCCATTCAATATGTTCAGCACCTCCAGAACGCTTTGTAACGATGGACGATGCGTCTGAAATTTTTAATTCAAATCAAACTCCGAAGTCAATAAACACTCCGAAATCAATGCATTATCACTTCTGTTTACTCGTATGCGAACATGATGCACGCTCAAATAGTTGGTATATTGTTGAATAGTTACTCAACGAAAAGACCAACCAACCTCAATGGGAACAAGCTGACCGATATTGGCAGCACCCTGTCGATTCGCCTCATTGATTCGTTTCTGGAAAGTGACTGCCTGTTGCGTTAAATGCTTCAGACAATCACCGCTCTCCTTCGTCTTCTCGTGCTCCTCACCGAACGTCTTCGAATAGATTGTAAATGTTTCCTAAACAATATTTTAAAACAAACTTAGTCCATGCAAATCAACCCTCTCACAAAATCTTCTTTAGCATCTTCAAATCAAATCTTCTTCATATTTGCAACATCCAAAATTTCATCTCTGTTTGCTTCTCATATTTAGTAGTCATCTTAATGCATGCCTTATCAACTGCAGGTGGGTCCGAAAAACGATTATCAAATTAATGTAATCTTTTTTGGAGGAATTGAATTTGTTGCACAGAAATCGGTTTCAAAGAAAAACCTTTTCCATTTGGAGAGCAGTACGGAAATCACCACGACACGAATATGTTCGTGCCATCAAATGATAGATAAGAGCAGTCTTCAAGGCTCGTGGCTCCATATAAATTTGATGCAGTTTAAGGGCACTTTGCAGGAACTTCAATGCATCATCGTACTCTTGTATTGCGTATAGTATAACACCAATATTACCGTCGATTTGAGCCATCAACGGATGGTTTTCACCTGCAAATACATATGGCTGTGACTTCGCCTAACCAAGTCATATTCCTTACAATTATAGTCAAAACATGGAGAGATATAAAAAAGAAAATTGATGACTGTAATGTGAAAAAAAAAACGAAATCAACACTGAACGAACCATGAACCAGCATTAATAGATAGCGAGCGCGATAGAGGAGTTTCAATGAGGCAGCAATATGCAAATTTGCGAATGAGAAATGAGCCAAGTTGAGCTGAAATTTTACAACGATTATCATCCTCACATACAAACAATAATGAAGGCAGCAACCAATAATAATTAAACAAATTGCTTGTCATTAGTTCAAATTCGCACTTCTTTTCTGACCGACAATGGTCTTACGACAAAACACGCCAATACTCATACACAATATACATGTTTGTCATTTGAAAACCAATCAAAAATTACTGTGGATATGTGAAAGAACAATTAAAGATAGCAAGAAGGATTTAAAAAGTCTTGTAGAATCAACGAACATATTCAAGAATTGTACTCGCACTATCCAAGCCATTGCATCGCTCACTCATCAAAGCAGCCTTGTGCTGCTGTGCGAGTGCCTCGGAAGGATCGCCGAGAATATACGATAAACGCGCCAACAACCTCATACACTGAGCCATATCCGGATGCATCGCACCGTAGACATTATTCATCAGATTCAACGCCTCTGCTACCATCTCAAAGCCAGATCGTAATGCACCTAAAATCAACTGATTTTACACTCTAAAGAGAGTCACGAACACCAGAAGAACTAAAATACAACACTGGAATTAAGTTTAGTTCCAAGAACTCATATCGCTGTGAATAATCAAACGGTGACAGACAACCAACTACCTTGTTGCACTTTTGCTTGACCAGAAATGAACAAACTATGCGCATCGACCGCTTTTGGATCGACGTGTTTCGATACGCAATAGAGATTCTGAATGTCGTCTTCGACAAACGGCAACGCTTTCTTGCCAGTTTCTAGTCCATAGTCACGCAGCAGCATCTGAACAACGAAACACTGAGTTTCAACAACGTCTCTCCGACACCGCAATGCTCCAATTCATCGCCACTATCTGCACAACATCTTACCTGAATGCCAACCATCTGAGCGAATCGACGCAAAATGGACGTTTTCTGAAGTGAATTCTGCGTCACATAAGCATCCATATTCTCAGAAGTTATCTCGAATGCATAGTATGAATCCGACTCGGAACAAAGATTCGTCCAGAGTGTCTTCGATGAGAGATGTGTCCAGTCGTCGTTCTCTTTCCCGATGCCACCGGCTTGCCTGCGTCGTTTCGTCGAACGTGCTTTACGAACGTTATTCGCTGAGGATGTCGTCTGCAAGCACATTCAGCTATTCTAAACCACTCGATTACTCGTTGCAATCAACTGAGATGCGATCGACTTCAAAATTCCAAAAAAGACGAATTTTTTTGCATGCGAAATCAAGTTTAACATATTGTGAAGAAAGATAGTACCTCATCACCACCGTTCGATGTAGACGCTGCAGAAGAATTGCCCAGTAAACAGTTCAAGAAATGAGACACCGCAGCTCCACAGTGTGCCGCAGGAACCAGTTGCATATAGGTACGAAACACGTGTTTCGCACTACGACAGATCAATTCACACATACAAATAGCCTCAAACATAACTTTTCTATACCACAACAACAATGAATTGATGATGGCTGATTACGAATAAAGTTCTGAGAATACTTTCTAGTGCAGAGAGTAGCTCTCTGACACCTAGAAGGTACCTGTTATTGCCATAATGTCTATATATACCTTCAGATACTGAAGTTGTTCCACATTTTCGATGATCTTCGTGAGTTTACCCAAATAACGAATGTTGATACCACGAGAGTGCATGGCCTCACTCAACGAAGCTCCTTCAACTGGCATTAGGGCATGTTGTAGACAATCGCGAACAAAATTTGGCATTTGCTGAAACGATTCGTTATCATCAAACCTGAATGATCTTTTTTTTATATTTCTCAACGTTTCATCAAACAACAACAAAAAAGCGAATTTGCATTGCGAATATGAAACTCGAAGTGATCTTAAGACGTGGAACAAATGAAATAATAAACGTGCGTGCCTGCTCCAGAAGAAATTCGGCGATTTCAGCGATGAGTTTGCGTTGTTTCGTCAGATCCTCATTGTCTGTGTGCTGTACTGTTGAGCAATAACAGTCCGGATTGAATCGCATATCGAACTCATCGGTTCGCGATGAACCGACAGCAGACGCTGCTTCTGCCATTATCTGCAAAACCATTCTCTCATCCACATCAACTAAAAACGGATCTCAGCACCAAATACACACATACTCGTTTGCATCAGCCAAGTGTTTTCTCCAACCGTTTATTTCATGCTCATAAACGAAAGTACCTTT